GGCAGTACTGGTGCTATATGGGCTATATAGAGCTCCATAGGGCAATGTCAATGCTATATGGGCTATATAGGGCTCCATATGGCAATGTCAATGCTATATGGGCTGTGTAGAGCTCCATAGGGCAATGTCAATGCTATATGGGCTGTGTAGAGCTCCATAGGGCAGTATCAATGCTATATGGGCTGTATAGGGCTCCATAGGGCAATGTCAATGCTATATGGGCTATATAGGGCTCCATATGGCAATGTCAATGCTATATGGGCTGTGTAGAGCTCCATAGGGCAATGTCAATGCTATATGGGCTATATAGGGCTCCATAGGGCAATGTCAATGCTATATGGGCTGTGTAGAGCTCCATAGGGCAGTATCAATGCTATATGGGCTGTATAGGGCTCCATAGGGCAATGTCAATGCTATATGGGCTGTATAGGGCTCCATAGGGCAATGTCAATGCTATATGGGCTGTGTAGAGCTCCATAGGGCAATGTCAATGCTATATGGGCTGTGTAGAGCTCCATAGGGCAATGTCAATGCTATATGGGCTATATAGAGCTCCATAGGGCAATGTCAATGCTATATGGGCTGTGTAGAGCTCCATAGGGCAATGTCAATGCTATATGGGCTATATAGAGCTCCATAGGGCAATGTCAATGCTATATGGGCTGTGTAGAGCTCCATAGGGCAATGTCAATGCTATATGGGCTATATAGAGCTCCATAGGGCAATGTCAATGCTATATGGGCTGTGTAGAGCTCCATAGGGCAGTATCAATGCTATATGGGCTGTATAGGGCTCCATAGGGCAATGTCAATGCTATATGGGCTGTATAGGGCTCCATAGGGCAATGTCAATGCTATACGGGCTGTGTAGAGCTCCATAGGGCAATGTCAATCCTATATGGGCTGTGTAGAGCTCCATAGGGCAGTATCAATGCTATATCGGCTGTGTAGAGCTCCATAGGGCAATGTCAATGCTATATGGGCTGTGTAGAGCTCCATAGGGCAATGTCAATGCTATATGGGCTGTGTAGAGCTCCATAGGGCAGTATCAATGCTATATGGGCTGTATAGGGCTCCATATGGCAATGTCAATGCTATATGGGCTGTGTAGAGCTCCATAGGGCAGTATCAATGCTATATGGGCTGTATAGGGCTCCATAGTGCAGTATTGGTGCTGTATGGGCTCTATAGGCTGTGTAGCGGCCGTACGGTGCTGTATGGTATATGGGTATAGTAGGGCCTGTATAGGGACTGGATGGGTGCCCTGGGTGCTGTATGGCTCCTATCTATATGGTCTGGATGGGTGCTCTATGTGCTGTATGGCTGTTATATGTAGGGACTGTGAGAGGGCCCTGGGACCTATAGGGGTCACGTGCACCAAAGTGATGCCCTATAGAGACCATCTGGATCCCTAGGGCTCTATAGGGGCTGTTTGCATCCCTATAGACACATAGGGGCTGTATGGATCCCTAGGGCTCTATAGGGGCTGTTTGTATTCCTATGGACACATAGGGGCTGTATGGATCCCTAGGGATCTATAGGGGCTGTATGGATCCCTAGGGCTCTATAGGGGCTGTATGGATCCCTAGGGCTCTATAGGGGCTGTTGGCATCCCTATAGACACATAGGGGCTGTATGGATCCCTAGGGCTCGATAGGGGCTGTTGGCATCCCTATGGACACATAGGGGCTGTATGGATCCCTAGGGCTCTATAGGGGCTGTATGGATCCCTAGGGCTCTATAGGGGCTGTATGGATCCCTAGGGCTCTACAGGGGCTGTTGGCATCCCTATAGACACATAGGGGCTGTATGGATCCCTAGGGCTCTATAAGGGGCTGTTGGCATCCCTATAGACACATAGGGGCTGTATGGATCCCTAGGGCTCTATAGGGGCTGTTTGCATCCCTATAGACCCACAGGGCCCCTATGGATCCCCAGGGCCCCATAGGCGCCATATGGGTCCTCCCCCGTTTGCTGTTGGGGGGGGGAGGTGATGGGCTGTTTGGGGGCGGTTGCCATGGCGACGCCTCCATCATGGCGCCTCCTCGCGCTATTTTGAGGTCCAAGCGGTGACGTTTGGGGGGGGGGGGGGCGGGGCTCGCGCGGGGACCCAGGCGGCCGGGACCCCCCCTCCCCCCCTCTCCCCCTCCCCCCATTCCCATCCCATCCCCCCCTTCCCCCCGGGTATCCCAATCGCATCCTCCCCCCCCTTCATCCCCCGCCGCGTCTCCATGGCAACCGACATCCCGCGGGGGGGGGGGGGGGGGGGGGGGATGCTCCGCGCAGGCGCCTGGGGCCAGGAGAACCCGTTTCCCCCCTCCCCCCCCTCCATTGGGAACACCCCATTGGGGGGGACACCTCAGCCCCCCAAGTGTGTGTGGGGAACAGACCCCCCCATTGCAGGGGAACGGGGGGGGACACACAACCCAGACATCCCCACACACGCACCCTATCAATGGGGCAGCCCCTCCTCCATCAGGCATCCAGGCCCACCCCACCACCCCATTTTGGGGACCCCCCCGTTTCCATCTCGAATGGACCCCCCCAACCCCCCCACCCCCCCTTCATGGGGTGAGGACCCCGCAAGCCGGTTTCGGGGGGGGTTAAGGGGGGGGTCGCTCCTCCGGCTCCTCCCCCCCCCCCCCTTTACCCCCCCCCCCTTCCTCCATCGGCCGATCGGGCCCTTGGTGCTGCTGCGGAGGAGCCGCCCCCCCCCGGACCCCTTCTTTGTGGGGGGATCCCCGTGTCTGTGGCGGCCCCCCCACCCCCCCATTTTGGGGGTGCCCCCCCCCCCCCATGTGGTGCCTGCAGTGCACGGCCGACCGGCGGCGGGGGCCGCTCCGGCAGCGGCTGCTGCACGGGTGAGTGGGGACCCCCCCCATAACCCCCCCCCAGCATCATTTAACCCCCCCTCCCCCTTGTTTTGGGGGACACCCCCCCCCCCCAGGGACCCCCCCCCCCCCCCCTCCGGTCCCCACCCCCTCCGTTCCCAGGCACCTGAGCCCCAGTTAGGGGGGGGGGGGGGGGAGGTTGGGGTGCCCCAGTGATGGGGGGGGGGGTGCCTGTGTCTGTGTGCTCCCATGGACTTGTATCCCTGTGTCCCATGCATCCGTGTGTCCCATGTCTGGTGTGTGCATGCATCCCTGTGTCCATGCATCCCCATGCCCATGCATCCATGTGTCCCATGTCTGGTGTATCTATGCATGCCTGTGTCCATGCATCCCCATGTCCATGCATCCCTGTGTCCATGCATCCCCATGTCCATGCATCCCCGTCTCCATGCATCCCTGTGTCCATGCATCCCCATTCCCATGCATCCATGTGTCCCATGTCTGGTGTATCTATGCATGCCTGTGTCCATGCATCCCCGTCTCCATGCATCCCCATGTCCATGCATCCCTCTGTCCATGCATCCCCATGTCCATGCATCCATGTGTCCCATGTCTGGTGTGTCCATGCATCCCCGTGTCCATGCACCCCCATGTCCATGCATCCCCGTGTCCATGCATCCCTGTGTCCATGCACCCCCATGTCCATGCATCCCTGTGTCCATGCATCCCCATTCCCATGCATCCATGTGTCCCATGTCTGGTGTGCCCATGCATCCCCGTGCCCATGCATCCCCGTGTCCATGCATCCCCATGCCCATGCATCCCCATGTCCATGCATCCCCGTGTCCATGCATCCCCGTGTCCATGCATCCCCATGCCCATGCATCCCCGCGTCCATGCATCCCCATGTCCATGCATCCATGTGTCCCATGTCTGGTGTGCCCATGCATCACTGTGTCCATGCATCCCCATGCCCATGCATCCCTGTGTCCATGCATCCCCATGCCCATGCATTCCCATTCCCCTCTCTCCCCATGTCCCTTTGTCCCCATGTCCCTGTGTCCCCATGTCCCTGTGTCCCCATGTCCAAGTGTTCCCCCATGTCCCTGTGTCCCCACGTCCGTGTGGCCCCAGCTCTGTGTCCCTTTGTCCCCATGGTCTGAGCTCAGAGGGGATCCAAGGGGTCATGGGGGACCCTTGAGGCCATTTGGGGGTGTCAATGGGGTGTCAGTGGGGTGTCAAGGGGGTGGTCAAGGGGTTGTCAAGGGGGTGTCAATGGGGTGTCAATGGGTGTCCATGGCTGTCAATGTGTGCCAATGGTTGTCAATGGTTGTCAGTGGGTGCCAATGGGTGCCAATGGCTGTCAATGGGAGTCAGTGGGTGCCAATGGTTGTCAATGAGTGTCAATGGGTGTCAATGGCTGCCGCCGGGTGTCAATGGCTGCCACCAGGTGTCAATGGCTGTCAGTGGGTGCCAATGGCTGTCAATGGGTGCCAATGGTTGCCAATGGCTGTCAATGGGTGCCAATGGTTGTCAATGAGTGTCAATGGGTGTCAATGGCTGCCACCGGGTGTCAATGGGTGTCAATGGGTGCCAATGGGTGTCAATGGGTGCCAATGGTTGCCAATGGCTGTCAATGGGTGTCAATGGGTGTCAATGGGTGTCAATGGCTGTCAATGGTTGTCAATGGGTGACAACGGATGTCAATGGTTGTCAATGGGTGCCAATGGGTGTCAATGGGTGTTACTGGGTGCCCATGGCTGTCAATGGGTGTCACTGGGTGTCAATGAGTGTCTATGGGTGCCCATGGCTGTCAATGGGTGTCACTGGGTGTCAATGGGTGTCACTGGGTGTCAATGGCTGTCAATGGCTGTCACTGGGTGTCCCTGGGTGTCAATGGGTGCCAATGGCTGTCAATGGGTGTCACTGGGTGTCAATGGCTGTCAATGGGTGTCACTGGGTGTCACTGGGTGTCACTGGGTGCCCATGGCTGTCAATGGCTGTCAATGGGTGTCACTGGGTGTCAATGGGCATCAATGGGTGTCACTGGGTGCCCATGGCTGTCAATGGCTGTCAATGGCTGTCACTGGGTGTCACTGGGTGCCCATGGCTGTCAATGGCTGTCAATGGCTGTCACTGGGTGCCAACGGGTGCCCCTGTGTCCCCGCAGCGTGGACGGCGAGGCTCCGGGCAGCGAAGGGGGGGGGCCGGTCCCCGACAGCCCCGGGCGCCCCCCCCCGTACCGGGGCCTCCCCCAAGCGGCTCCCCCCGGTGCAGGGGGGTCCGGGGGGGGGCCCGGGGGGGGCTCCCCGGGGCTGGGCTGGGCCCGGCTCCCCCCGCAGCCGGCGAGCGTGGCCCTGCGCAAGCAGCAGGAGGAGGAGGAGAGCAAGAGGCCGAAGGCTCTGAGCGACAGCTACGAGCTCTCCACTGACCTGGAGGACAAGAAGGTACCGGGGGGGACATGGGGGGGACATGGGGGGCAATGGGGGGGGGGTGTCACAAACATCATGCGATGGGAGCCGGCCGTACCTGATGGTCCTCAGGGCTGGGGGGTGCGCACCATGTGGGGCGGTCTCCATCCCTCCAGGGTGGTCCCCAGCCCCTATGGTGGTCCCCAGCCCCTATGATGCTCCCCAGCCCCTATGATGGTCCCCAGCCCCTGTGATGGTCCCCAGCCCCTATGATGGTCCCCAGCCCCTGTGATGGTCCCCAGCCCCTATGATGGTCCCCAGCCCCTATGATGGTCCCCAGCCCCTATGATGGTCCCCAGCCCCTATGATGCTCCCCAGCCCCTGTGATGCTCCCCAGCCCCTGTGATGGTCCCCAGCCCCTATGATGGTCCCCAGCCCCTGTGATGGTCTCCAGCCCCTATGATGGTCCCCAGCCCCTATGATGGTCCCCAGCCCCTGTGATGGTCTCCAGCCCCTATGATGCTCCCCAGCCCCTATGATGGTCCCCAGCCCCTGTGATGGTCTCCAGCCCCTGTGATGGTCCCCAGCCCCTATGATGGTCTCCAGCCCCTGTGATGGTCTCCAGCCCCTGTGATGGTCCCCAGCCCCTATGGTGGTCCCCAGCCCCTGTGATGGTCCCCAGCCCCTATGATGGTCCCCAGCCCCTGTGATGGTCTCCAGCCCCTGTGATGGTCCCCAGCCCCTATGATGCTCCCCAGCCCTGTACGGTGGCCTCACCGTGTCCTTCTCTGGTCCTGTTCTCTCCCTGTCTCCATGTGCCTGTTCATGGCCCCATCCCCATCTCCCCATCCATGTCCCCATGTCCCCATCCCCATGTCCTTATCTCCCCATCCATGTCCCCATGTCCCCATCCCCATGTCCTTATCTCCCCATCCATGCCTTCATCTCCCCATGTCCCCATCCATGTCTCTATGTCCCCATCCCCATCTCCCCATGTCCCCATCCCCATGTATGCATCTGAATGTTCTCCATGTCCCTGTGTCTCCATCCCCATGTCCCTATGTCCCCATCTCCCTATCCCCATGTCCCCATCCCCATCTCCCCATCCATGTCCCCATCCCCATCCCCATCTCCTCATGTCCCCATCCCCATCTCCCCATCCATGTCCCCATCCCCATCCCCATCTTCCCATTCCCATCCCCATCCCCATGTCTCCATCCCCATCTTCCCATCCGCATCCCCATGTCTCCATCCCCATCTCCCCATCCCCATCTTCCCATCCCCATCCCATCCCCATCTCCTCATCCCCATCTCCTCATCCCCATGTCCCCATCCCCATCCCCATGTCCCCATCCCCATCCCCATGTCCCCATCTCCATCTCCCCATCCCATCCCCATCCCATTCCCATTCCCATCCCCATCCCCTCCCCATCTCCCCATCCCCATCCCATTCCCATCCCCATCCCATCCCCATCTCCCCATCCCTATCTCCCCATCCCCATGTCCCCATTCCCATCCCCATCTCCCCATCTCCCCATGTCCCCACCCCCATCTCCTCATCCCCATCTCCCCATCCCAATCCCCATCTCCCCATCCCAATCCCCATCTCCCCATCCCATCCCCATCCCCATCCCATCCCCACCCCATCCCCATGTCCCCATCTCCATCCCATCCCCACCCCATCCCCATCTCCCCATCCCATTCCCATCTCCATCCCATCCCCATCTCCCCATCCCTGTCCCATCTCCATCCCATCCCCATCCCATCCCCATCTCCTCATCCCCGTGTCCCCATCCCCATCCCATTCCCACCTCCCCATCCCATCCCCATCCCATCCCCATCCCCATCCCCGTCTCCCCATCTCCCCATCCCCATGTCCCCATCCCCATCCCATCCACATCTCCCCATCCCATCCCCATCCCCATGTCCCCATCCCATCTCCCCATGTCCCCACCCCATCCCCATCTCCCCATGTCCCCACCCAATCCCCATCTCCCCATGTCCCCGTCCCCATCCCCATCTCCATCCCCATCTCCATCCCCATCCCCATCTCCATCCCCATCCCCATCTCCCCATCTCCCCATGTCCCCATCTCCCCCCGGTTGCCCCCCGGTGGCTCAGGTGGAGATGCTGGAGCGCAAGTACGGGGGTTACTTCCGCACCCGCCGCGCCGCCCGCACCATCCAGGCCGCCTTCCGCCGGTACCGCATGGCCCAGAAGTTCGAGCGGCTGCGGAGCGAGGGGGGGCGGGCTCGGCGCTTGGCCCTGCCCGGCCTCCGCCTCCAGTTCTCCTTCGAGGAGTACGACCGGGGCCCCCCCCCGCCGGCCCCGGGGCCCCCCCCGCCGCCCCCCCCGTACTTCCAAGGCAAACCCGCCTCGCTGGACGAGGGGGTGCTGGGGGGGCCCCGCAGGGCGCCGCGCTATGGGGGGTCCTGTAGGGCTGGCTTGGATGGAGGAGGGGGGGGGGCGGGGGTGGGGGGGAGCTGGGGACGTGGGGGCGGGGATTGGAGGAGGGGGACCCGGGAGCCCCCCCCGGCAGCTCTCGGCTTCGGCGGATTTCGGGCCCGGAGGGGCTGACCTGGAGGAGGCGTTCGCGCAGCAGGTGGGGGGGGTGGGGGGGGCTATAGGGGACTGGGGGGGTATAGGGGGCTGGGGGGGTTTGGGGGCTATAGGGGACTGGGGGGGCATAGGGGACTGGGGGGGTTTGGGGGCTATAGGGGACTGGGGGGGTTTGGGGGCTATAGGGGACTGGGGGGTTATGGGGGCTATAGGGGACTGGGGGGGCTATAGGGGACTGGGGGGGCTATAGGGGACTGGGGGGTTATGGGGGCTATAGGGGACTGGGGGGCTATAGGGGACTGGGGGGCTATAGGGGACTGGGGGGGCTATAGGGGATGGGGGGCTCAATGGGTGCTGATGGGGGGGCTCAATGGGTGCTGATGTGGAGGGGCTCAATGGGTGCTGACGGGGGGGGCTCAGTGGGTGCTGACGGGGGGGTCAATGGGTGCTGATGGGGGGGTGTCAATGGGTGCTGACGGGGGGGGTCAATGGGTGCTGACGGGGGGGTCAATGGGTGCTGATGGGGGGGGTCAATGGGTGCTGATGGGGGGGCTCAATGGGTGCTGATGGGCTCAATGGGTGCTGACCGGGGGGGGGCTCAATGGGTGCTGATGGGGGGGTCAATGGGTGCTGACGGGGGGGTCAATGGGTGCTGATGGGGGGGCTCAATGGGTGCTGATGGGGGGGGCTCAATGGGTGCTGACCGGGGGGGGGCTCAATGGGTGCTGATGGGGAGGTCAATGGGTGCTGACGGGGGGGCTCAGTGGGTGCTGATGGGGGGGTCAATGGGTGCTGACGGGGGGGTCAATGGGTGCTGATGGGGGGGTCAATGGGTGCTGATGGGGGGGGCTCAATGGGTGCTGACCGGGGGGGGGCTCAATGGGTGCTGACGGGGGGGTTCCCCCCCCTCTCTCTCCCCCCAGGTGAAATCTTTGGCCGCCTCCATTGACGAGGCCCTGGGGGGGGGCCGCGGGGTCCCCCCCGGCGGCCCCGCCCCCCCCGCGGGGGACAGCGCCGCCACCTCCACCAGTGACGTCACCCTGTACCTGGACGAGGGGCTCCCCGGCTCCCCCCACTCCCCGGAGCGCCCCCCCAGCCCCGAGCCCCCCACTTCGGACACGGGGGGGCCCCAGCCCCCCCCTGCGCCCCCCCCTCCTCTGCCCCCCCCCCCGCCCCCCAACAACCCCACCAACCCCCCCCCCGGCCCTGCCGAGCGCTGGGGGGGAGGGGCCGAGGACCCCCCCCCCCGCCGTGGCCCCCCCTGCTTGGAATGCCGGGGCCGCGGGGGGGTGGCGGGGGGGGGGCACCCCCCTTTGCTCACGGTTGAGCCCCCCAGCGACAGCTCCGCCGACCTCAGCGACCGCTCCGACCGCGGCTCCGTCAACCGGGGGGGTCCCTACGACCCCGGCGACGGCGGGGGGGGCACCTTGCCCCGTAGCGGACCCCCCCACCGCTGCTTCCACCCCGAAGCAGCCCCCCCCCCCACTTCCGCCGGTCCCCCCCCCGGCCCCCCACCCCAACCACCACCACCGCCACCACCGCCCGCCCCCGAGGAGGGCTCCGATGGGGACAACGAGAGCCTGGGGAGCAGCTCCAACTCCAACGAGAGCCTCAACTGCTCGTCGGGTTCCTCATCCCGGGACAGCTTGAGGAGACCCCCCCCGCCCCCCCCCCCGCCCCCCGCAGCCCCCCCGCAGCCCCCCCAGCCCCCCGGCAAGGCCACGTACCAACGGGAGCCGCGGCAGAGCTGGGACTCGCCGGCGCTCAACAACGACGTGGTCCAGCGGCGCCAGTACCGCATCGGCCTCAACCTCTTCAACAAGTGAGGGGCAGCGGGGAGCGGGGGGGTCTATGGGGTCTATGGGGTCATGGGAGCTATGGGGAAGGGTGGGGAGAGGTTGGTGGTACCGTGGGTAGGGTGGTGGTGCTCTAGGTGTGGCTATAGGGTGGGTGTGGGGATGCTCTAGGTGAGGCTATAGGGTGGGTGTGGGGATGTGCTAGGTGAGGCTATAGGGTGCGTGTGGGGATGCTCTAGGTGAGGCTATAGGGTGCGTGTGGGGATGCTCTAGGTGAGGCTATAGGGTGGGTGTGGGGATGCTCTAGGTGAGGCTATAGGGTGGGTGTGGGGATGCTCTAGGTGAGGCTATAGGGTGCGTGTGGGGATGCTCTAGGTGAGGCTATAGGGTGGGTGTGGGGATGCTCTAGGTGAGGCTATAGGGTGGGTGTGGGGATGCGCTAGGTGAGGCTATAGGGTGCATGTGGGGATGGGCTAGGTGAGGCTATAGGGTGGGTGTGGGGATGCTCTAGGTGAGGCTATAGGGTGGGTGTGGGGGTGGGCTAGGTGAGGCTATAGGGTGCATGTGGGGATGGGCTAGGTGAGGCTATAGGGTGGGTGTGGGGATGCTCTAGGTGAGGCTATAGGGTGGGTGTGGGGATGGGCTAGGTGAGGCTATAGGGTGCGTGTGGGGATGCTCTAGGTGAGGCTATAGGGTGGGTGTGGGGATGCTCTAGGTGAGGCTATAGGGTGGGTGTGGGGATGGTCTAGGTGAGGCTATAGGGTGGGTGTGGGGATGCTCTAGGTGAGGCTATAGGGTGGGTGTGAGGATGGTCTAGGTGAGGCTATAGGGTGCGTGTGGGGATGCTCTAGGTGAGGCTATAGGGTGGGTGTGGGGATGCTCTAGGTGGCCCTATAGTGTGGATATGGTGATGTTCTAAGTGAGCCTATAGAGTGGGTATGGGGATGTTCTAGGTGACCCTATAGCATGGGTATAGTGATGCTCTAGATGATCCTATAGTGTGGGTTGATGTTCTAGGTGACCCTATATCATAGCTATAGTGATGTTCTAGGTGAGCCTATAGCATGGGGATGTTCTAGGTGACCCTATAGGGTGGATATGGTGACGTTCTAGGTAACCCTATAGGGTGGGTATTATGTTGTTCTAGGTGACCCTATGGGGTGGATATGGTGACGTTCTAGGTAACCCTATAGGGTGGGTATTATGTTGTTCTAGGTGACCCTATGGGGTGGGGATGGTGATGCTCTAGATGATCCTGTAGTGTGGGTATAATGATCTAGGTTACCCTATAGCGTGGGTATGGTGGTGTTCTAGATAACCCTATAGTATGGGCATGGTGATGTTCTAGGTAACACTGTAGTATGAGTACAGTGATGTTCTAGGTAGCCCTATAGTGTGGGTGTGGCTATGTTCTAGGTAACACTACAGTATGGATATGCTGATGTTCTAGGTGACCCTATAGCATGGGTATGGTGATGTTCTAGGTGACCCTATAGCATGGGTATGATGATGTTCTAGGTAACCCTATAGCATGGGTATGGTGATGTTCTAGGTGACCCTATAGCATGGGTATGGTGATGTTCTAGGTGACCCCATAGGATGGGTATGGTGATGTTCTAGGTGACCCTATAGCATGGGTATGGTGATGTTCTAGGTGACCCCATAGCATGGGTATGGTGATGTTCTAGGTAACCCTATAGCATGGGTATGATGATGTTCTAGGTAACCCTATAGCATGGGTATGATGATGTTCTAGGTGACTCCATAGCATGGGTATGGTGATGTTCTAGGTGACCCCATAGCATGGGTATGGTGATGTTCTAGGTGACCCCATAGCATGGGTATGGTGATGTTCTAGGTGACCCCATAGCATGGGTATGGTGATGTTCTAGGTGACCCCATAGCATGGGTATGGTGATGTTCTAGGTGACCCTATAGCATGGGTATGGTGATGTTCTAGGTAACCCTATAGCATGAGTATGGTGATGTTCTAGGTGACCCTATAGCATGGGTATGATGATGACCCAGGGGATGATGACGTCCAGGTCACCCCATGGCCGGGGTGGGGGGGGACGGGACACACACAAAGCCCCCCCCCTCCCCCAATGGTGGTGATGCCATGGGTCCCCCCCATTGACAGGAAACCAGAGAAGGGGATCCAGTACCTGATCGAGAGGGGCTTCCTCTCGGACACGCCGGTGGGGGTGGCCCACTTCATCCTGGAGAGGAAGGGGCTGAGCCGGCAAATGATCGGCGAGTTCCTCGGCAACCGGCAGAAGCAGTTCAACCGCGACGTCCTCGAGTGAGGGGGGGCCCCATGGCCGTGGGGCGGGGGGGGGGGGGTGATGGGGACCCTCGGGATGGGGGGGTGACCCCGGTACCGAGCCCACCCCACGGGTGTCCCCGCAGCTGCGTGGTAGACGAGATGGACTTCTCGGGCATGGAGCTGGATGAGGCCCTGCGCAAGTTCCAGTCCCACATCCGCGTGCAGGGGGAGGCCCAGAAGGTCGAGCGCTTGATCGAGGCCTTCAGGTGAGGGATGGGGTCGTGGGGTGGGGTTCCAGGTGTCCCTGTGGAGGGGTGCTCGATGTGACCTGGGAGGGAGGCTCTAGGTCACCCTATGGGAGGTGACCCCGTGGAGGGATGCTCTAGGTGGTCTATGAGGGATGCTTGATGTGATCCGTGAGGGATGCTCAATGTGACCTATGCTCAATGTGACCTATGAGGGATGCTCTATGTGATCTATGAGGGATGCTCTATGTGATCCATGAGGGATGCTCAATGTGATCCATGAGGGATGCTCAATGTGACCTATGCTCAATGTGACCTATGAGGGATGCTCAATGTGATCCATGAGGGATGCTCTGTGTGACCTATGAGGGATGCTCTATGTGATCCATGAGGGATGCTCTAGGTGATCTATGAGGGATGCTCTGTGATCCATGAGGGATGCTCTATGTGACCTATGAGGGATGCTCTATGTGATCAATGAGGGATGCTCTATGTGATCCATGAGGGATGCTCAATGTGACCTATGCTCAATGTGACTTATGAGGGATGCTCAATGTGATCCATGAGGGATGCTCTATGTGATCCATGAGGGATGCTCTGTGTGATCCATGAGGGATGCTCTATGTGATCTATGAGGGATGCTCTAGGTGATCAATGAGGGATGCTTGATGTGATCCATGAGGGATGCTCTATGTGATCCATGAGGGATGCTCAATGTGATCTATGAGGGATGCTCTAGGTGATCTATGAGGGATGCTTCATGTGATCAATGAGGGATGCTTCATGTGATCCATGAGGGATGCTCAATGTGACCTATGCTCAATGTGACCTATGAGGGATGCTCTATGTGATCAATGAGGGATGCTCTATGTGATCCATGAGGGATGCTTCATGTGATCCATGAGGGATGCTCTATGTGATCCATGAGGGATGCTCCATGTGATCTATGAGGGATGCTCTATGTGATCTATGAGGGGTGCTCTAGGTGACCAATAAGGGATGCTCTAGGTGATCAATGAGGGATGCTCTTGGTGATCAATGAGTGATGCTCTGGGTGATCTATGAGGGATGCTCTGTGATCTATGAGGGATGCTTGATGTCATCTATGAGGGATGCTCTATGGGATCAATGAGGGATGCTCTATGTGATCCATGAGGGATGCTCTAGGTGATCTATGAGGGGTGCTCGATGTGATCTATGAGGGATGCTCTGGGTGATCTAGGAGGGATGCTCTGTGATCTATGAGGGATGCTTGATGTGATCTATGAGGGGTGCTCGATGTGACCTATGAGGGGTGCTCGATGTAATCTATGAGGGATGCTCTGGGTGATCTATGAGGGGTGCTCGATGTGACCTATGAGGGGTGCTGTATGTGATCTATGAGGGGTGCTCGTTGTGACCTATGAGGGGTGCTCTGGGTGATCTATGAGGGATGCTCCATGTGATCCATGAGGGATGCTCAATGTGATCTATGAGGGGTGCTCGATGTCACCTATGAGGGATGGTCTATGTGATCTATGAATGATGCTCTAGGTTACCCTATGGGAGGTGATCCTATGGGGGCGGGGGATGCTGTATGTGACCTATGAGGAATGCTCTAGGTCACCCTATGGGAGAAGTCCCAGGTGTCCCTATGGGGGGATGCTCTATGTGATCTATGAGGGATGCTCTAGGTCACCCTATGGGAGGTGTCCCTATGGGGGGATGCTCTATGTAACCTATGAGGAATGCTCTAGGTCACCCTATAGGAGAAGCCCCAGGTGACCCCATGGACCAGGTTGGGGGACGTTTGGTTTGATGCCACATGCAGGGATGGGTGACATTCCAGGTGTCCCTATGGACCACGCAGGGGGGGCTTGGGCCCCACACGATGCTCTAGGGCCCCACACGATGCTCTAGGGGACCCTATAGGTACCATTCAATGCGATTCCCCACACGCAAGGAGCTCTGCCCCACACCGGTGCCGAGTGTCCCCCCCCCACCCCATGACCCTATGGGCCATGGGGACAAGCCCTGTTCCACGCCGCAGCCAGCGCTACTGCGTGTGCAACGCGGCCCTGCTGCGCCAGTTCCGCAACCCGGACACCATCTTCATCCTGGCCTTCGCCATCATCCTCCTCAACACGGACATGTACAGCCCCAGCGTGAAGGCCGAGCGCAAGATGAAGCTGGAGGACTTCATCAAGAACCTCCGAGGTGATGGAGCAAGGGGGTCCTCATTGGGGGGGGGGGGGGGTATCCCCATCCCTTGCTCATGGATGGATGGGGGGGTTCTAGAGCGGTGGCCGGTGTCGCGCAGGGGTGGACAACGGGGAGGACATCCCCCGGGACATGCTGGTGGGCATCTACCAGCGCATCCAGAGCCGGGAGCTGCGCACCAACGACGACCACGTGTCCCAGGTCCAGGCCGTCGAGCGCATGATCGTCGGCAAGAAGCCGGTGGGTCCCGGGGGGGGGGGACCGGGATGGTTGGGGTCTGTGGAGGGGTGGGCTATGGGGGCCCTATGGGGAATGATTTAGGGGACCCATAGGGGATGCTCTAGGTGACCTATGGGAGGTGTTCTAGGTGACCCTATGGGGAACGCTTTAGGGGACCCATAGCGGATGCTCTAGGTGACCTATGGGAGGTGTTCTAGGTGACCCTATGGGGAACGCTTTAGGGGACCCATAGGGGATGCTCTAGGTGACCTATGGGAGGTGTTCTAGGTGACCCTATGGGGAACGCTTTAGGGGACCCATAGGGGATGCTCTAGGTGACCTATGGGAGGTGTTCTAGGTGACCCTATGGGGAATGCTTTAGGGGACCCATAGGGGATGCTCTAGGTGACCTATGGGAGGTGTTCTAGGTAACCCTATGGGGAATGTTTTAGGGGACCCATAGGGGATGGTCTAGGTAACTCATGGGGATGTTCTAGGTGACCCTATCGTGAATGCTCTTGGTAATCCTATGGAGAATGCTTTAGGTGATTTATGGGGAGATGTTCTAGGCCGCCCTATGGGGGACGCTCCAGGTCACCCTATGGGTGATGCTCTAGGTGCTCTATGAGGGATGCTCTAGGTGACCATATAGGTGATGCTCTAGAGGGATGCTCTAGGTGACCCTATGGGTGGTGCTCTAGAGGGATGCTCTAGGTCACCCTATGGGTGATGCTCGAGGTGCTCTCTGAGGGATGCTCTAGGTTACCCTATGGGGGATGCTCTAGGACACCCTATGGGGGATGCTCTAGGACACCCTATGGGGGATGCTCTAGGTTACCCTATGGGGGATGCTCTAGGACACCCTATGGGGGATGCTCAAGGTGCTCTCTGAGGGATGCTCTAGGTTACCCTATGGGGGATGCTCTAGGACACCCTATGGGGGATGCTCTAGGTTACCCTATGGGGGATGCTCTAGGACACCCTATGGGGGATGCTCTAGGACACCCTATGGGGGATGCTCTAGGACACCCTATGGGGGATGCTCAAGGTGCTCTCTGAGGGATGCTCTAGGTTACCCTATGGGGGATGCTCTAGGACACCCTATGGGGGATGCTCTAGGACACCCTATGGGGGATGCTCTAGGTTACCCTATGGGGGATGCTCTAGGACACCCTATGGGGGATGCTCAAGGTGCTCTCTGAGGGATGCTCTAGGCCACCCTATGGGGGATGCTCTAGGCCACCCTATGGGGGATGCTCAAGGTGCTCTCTGAGGGATGCTCTAGGCCACCCTATGGCAAAAGCCCTGGTTGACCCAGTGGTGCCCATTGACCACAACACTCAAGGTTGCCCAATGACCAATGGCGCCGGTGACCCAACAGCACCCATTGCAGTTACCAAGGACCCCCCCCCCATCCCTTTCGTGTGTGTCCCCCCCCCACCTTGTCCCCAGGTGCTGTCCCTGCCCCACCGGCGCCTGGTTTGCTGCTGCCAACTCTATGAGGTGCCCGACCCCAACCGGCCCCAGCGCCTGGGGCTGCACCAGCGCGAGGTCTTCCTCTTCAATGACCTTCTGGTGGTGAGCCCGGGGCGCCGTGGGGCTGGGGGCCCCCATTTGGGGGGGGTCCATGGGGAGGGGGGGTGGGGGGTGTCTCCCATTGACCCTATGGCCCTCCCGTTGGTAGGTGACGAAGATCTTCCAGAAGAAGAAGATCCTGGTGACCTACAGCTTCCGCCAGAGCTTCCCGCTGGTGGAGATGCACATGCAGCTCTTCCAGAACGCCTGTGAGCCCCATAGCGCCCCACGGCACCCTAGAGCACCCCACGGCACCCTATAGCACCCTGTAGCACCCTATAGCACCCTATGGCACCCTATGGCAACCCCGTGCGTGCTCCCCTGCCCCCTTGCTCCATGTGGTCCACTGTGGAGTGCTGCCCACAGGGTGTCTCCTGATGCCGCGGTGGCCTCTATGGGGTACCCCATGGGATGCTCCCTGCCCCGTTGTGTTGTCCATCGGTTGTCCCATGGTGCCTCCCCCCCCCAGCATCCCCCAGTGCTCCCAGTGCCCATCCCAGTGCTCCCAGTGCCCATCCCAGTGCTCCCAGTGCCCATCCCAGTGCTCCCAGCGCCCTTCCCAGTGCTTCCATCAACCCAGCACCCCATTGCCCCCCAATCCCATTGCTCCCCCATTGCCCACCCCATTGCCCACCCTATTGCCCCCCCATTACCACCCCGACCCCCTTACTCCCCAACCCCATTCCCCCCCATTAGCCACCACAACCC